ACACACACACACATATATATATATATATATATATGTGTGTGTGTGTGTGTGTGTGTGTATTGGAATTGAATTGAATTATATCAGTTGGCTGCAGTTACCATTTTAAATTTGTTATTTAGCTTAAACTGTTGTTTCCTAGAATTAAAAAAATAATAAAAAATACAAAGTTTACAAAATATTTTGCCAATAGACAAACTGCATTTGTTTAATAACTGACAGCAAAATTAACCAATCACAATATTGATCTAGAGTGAGTGGGACCACAATTCCTTTTTATGGACTGTGAGATGTGAAGATGTGACGTGTTCAATGCAACATGTAAATTCAAAATCCACAATGAAGTTGTAGCTGCTAGGGACAATTTAGAGTTACCAGTCAGTCTAACATGCATGTTTTTGGTGTGTGGGAGGAAACCCACGCAGCACAGAGAGAACATGCAAACTCCAACCAGGAAGGTCCCCGGCTGGGATTTGAACCGGAGCGACCTGCTCGCTGAGAGGCGGCAGCTCTACGACTGCTCCACCGTGCTGCTGGAACGAAACAAAAGATAATTTATGGAAAGTGCACATTTCTGTGAGGACAGGGCCTGAGCTGAAGAGAGACAGAAAATGAAGACAAACAATGATCCACTGTGTCACTGTGTTCTGGCTGGACAAGCTAACCCAAAATGGACATGTTGGATGGTGTACAAGGTTTTTTAATAATAATGTGCATTTTATTTAAACTACGAGGGCTTGGCCTCATAAATAAAGGAGGGAGGATTGACGGTGGGGCAGGCTAAGTCGAGTTATTGTTGCCAGAGGAACCAAATATTGCTTCATTTGTACACACTCAGAGAAAACCAGTGATGGGGAAATGAAATGCAGCTCAAACGGCCACAGTGGGTGGACTTTACTGGAAACTTTGGACGACAGAGCTGCTTCCCGTGTTTTTACCGTAAAAAAACAACAACACAGTTTTAAAGCACCGTGACCAAATACAGTAAGAGTGTTACTGATACCCCAAGAAATTAAAAACCAAACTTTAACCACAAACTTCTTGGCTGGACTCTCAGCTGAACAGCTCTAACTAGTCAGCCTCAAACAGAACGGAATATTACAAAAGATAAAACTAATAAGTGGTCAATCTGACCGATAACGTCACTCACACCTGCCAATATCTGTCCGAGCAAACAGAGTTTGACATTTTATGAGTAAGAGGCCCCTTCAGATGTTTTATGGACGGAACAAACTTCATCAAACTGCTGCTCCATGTTGCCAGAACTGATAAACACTGAAATGCACATTTTCCTCAGAACGGTCCAAACATGTCCGCCTGAAACACGTAAGCAAATGTTTGTGCAAAAATGGGCTTTTAAAGCAAAAGCAACTCAATTCAGTTTAGTTTATTTCTGTAGCTTCAAGTCCCAACTGAAGTCATCTCAGGGAACTGAACAGAAACATTCAAATATATAAGAATTAAATGAGTAAAGTTCTTTATCTAAAGAAGCAGCAGATTGTGTTGAATCTTCACTTCACCACAGTCCTGAGCAAGAACAAAGGAGACAGTGGAAAAGAAAAACTCCCTTTAAACAGGAAGACACTTCCAACAGAACCAGGATCAGGACGAGCGGCCATCTGCTTCAACCAGCTGGTTTGAGAGGACAGGAAGTAGAAACAGTGGGCAGGAAGTAGAAACAGTGGGCAGG